AACATGCAAAAAAATAAGAAATCAGGAAGGGGGCAAACACTTTTTCATACAACTTTATCCACGAGGGAACCCCGGGGAATCCTTCCCTGATCGAAAGCCCACTTAAAATGTCAGATTTCCCTAAAAAAAAAACACAACATTTACAAATAATCCCTCTCGATCATCACTTAGGACACACTAAGTGTGTGTGGTGGTGTCAGTGACACAGACCCTGTCCTCTGCTCTTGTATTTTCATTTTGTCGTGTGCGGGACAATTCTGGGCGTCAAACTCGATGCCGGATCGTACGCACGCATCCAAGAAGAAGCTACGAAAAATGGAGGACACCGCGAAAGAGAAAAAAATGCATTTATAGCGAGGAGACGCTCCGAGCGGACAAAGCTCGTTCCAAAACCAGCGTGGGAATCTGGGGTTGGCTTTCACCCGCTGGCGAGCACCGTAACCCTCGCTGAGCCGGGGCCAACTTTGAATGTTGCATTTAAAACTGCGACAGAAAGACCCTACTAACTGTGCCTTTAAGCGTTGTGTCAACCAAAACCACTTCAGGAGAAACCACTGAAATCCAGGTTTGTGATGAAGCCTATTTTCCCAACCATACAATGTCCTGTATTATTGACATATTCCTTTAAGCTGCCTGCTGCCTTGAAACTTCCTCTGGTGAGAATATTCCAGATATGCAGAGTCACATGACACAGGAGGCAGAGCACCAGACGGGGGAGTGTCAGGTGGAGCGAGACCCTCACAGCTGACATTCTGACTGCCTCAAAGGCTGAACCCCTTTACTACAGGTCTGTCCCTAAACTCACCTTTGACCCCCCCAAACTCATGACCTCAAACTCCTATAACAACTCTGGGCGAGCTGAGCTGATGCTGACCTTAAAATACATTGATTTTAAAAAAGGACATAAACATACATGGATTCACATGCACACAGATGCAAAGTTAGCTGCTAAAACCTGCTGCAAAATGAACATGCAGCGCTACGTAAAGTTATATACGACAATGCAAGCAAGAAGGAACGCAGCACCACGATTTAGAAACTATCCGATGTCGGTCTGGACATTAGGAGAGATTGTGACCCTGAGAGGCCTCAAGTGCCGCCAGCCGGCGCAGCAAGTGCCAGCCAGCCAGCCAGTCACACACACACACACACCTAGTACAAGCAGATCGATCGATCTCGAGTGTTTGAGATATAGATATAGATAGATAGATAGATAGATAGATATATCTGACGCTGGAGAGTTTCTCTGTGGTTACGTACAAACAATGTAAATAAAAGAGCCAAATAATGAAATCAATGCAACTGTAGCCTATGATGAAATGTGCTAGCTGCTAGTGTACGTTCCATAGAACCCGCCTCCGTATGAAGCCAGCCTAGGAGGGTCTTTTTTTTATTATTATTTATTAATAACTAAATAAAAATAAAAAAAGATTTAAATTGAAATGCCTCCAACTTCCATAACTTCTAAGGACTTCCCCTTTCGCACCGACCTACGCCTCTGAGCTGTGATATAACGACACGGTCGTGTAATTTGACACACAGAGAAGCTCCATGTGAAGTGCTGGTCTCGACCTGCCCGATTATAACTGACAAAACCTGGTGAATAAAACAAGGCGGAGGCCACTGGAGGCAAAGAGCAATATTTCAACAATCGCACACAGACACACAGTCACATGAGCTTCACCAAACGCTGAGGGGGAAGCCCCGGGGTTTCCTCAGAATATTTGATGACCTTTGCATAATTTAAAAACGAGGAAATAAGAGTTAATTTATGCAAAGGCGTGAAAGGGAAGCGGTAAAAGGTATCGAGTACATTGTTGAGTCAATATTCTGATTAGACTGCAATCACCCCAAGAACTATTGTGACATTTAAATACCAATGCAGTACAAGTACACAGTGTTTTATCACATCCCATCCCCAGCTGCACGTCCAACAAGAACAAACATCAACAGGCTGACGAAGGCAGAAATGGATTCTATAAAAAGCAACAACAGAATGTATTCTGCATCGTCGTTGTCCGTCGCAGGGAAAGAGCAATGATGACAGATGATGTCAGACGAGATCTGCCTCCTGATTCAAAAGATCAGCTTTTATGACTCAGCACATCTCCATGCAACCATGAACGTGTACGGCTTGGTATCAAACCTATGTGAGCATTTAGGTCAGATGCTTCATGAATAAAATACATTATACGATGAAGATTCATGAATGTTTTACGACAGAAAGAATCATACTCCGTGATCTCAAACGAGACATATTTACAAACGTCCCCAGAGGACGAGAAGACGGAGCAGGAGAGTGTGTGTGCGTTGGTAAGCTCAGCGTATGTCGAGGTATTGTGACGGATGTTGCCTAATAATTACACAGCATGAATCTTAGGCGGATCAGACGGGACTGAAATAGCATCAGATCCCCGCTCACAACAAGAACGCAACACGGAGAAAAGAAACCGAGAGTCAGTGAAGTAAACACCAAAAGGAGAAGCTGGTAACTCCAGAGAAGAGAGAGAAGTTGTGCAGCGATCTGCTCTCAGTGTAGCCCTTCATGTGTGAGCCGCTCCCATCAGCAGTTAAACTCGGGCTAAAATGTTCTCAAAGCCCCCCGGGGCCTCCTGCCGCCGCTCAGCAGAGTTGTGTGTGTGTGTGTGTGTGTGTGTGTGTGTGTGAGAGAGAGAGATTCAGCCACCGGTCCCTCCGTGTACACTCTGAGGCCTTAACAAGAGCTGTGATTACAACACTGCAGGAACCACAAATGCACTCATAACAATAAGAAGAGGCAGCTTTTGCACAACTTCCTCAATTGCTCCGTTAGAAAAACAAAAAAAGGCCCATTGCTCAATACGCAATGAAACGTAGTGCCGGCCTCTGAGATTTTCTGGAGTGGAAGCCAGGGCGTCCATTATCCTCGTCTTTTATCTTCCTTCTCACACATACGCACGCACACAGTCAGCTAGTCAGGCGCTAGCCAAGCTCACATCTACAACACCCACTTCACCCGACTGCCAACTACATTACAAACACTTCATATATTTAAAAAAGAGTCCTTATAAGACACACAATCGTACACAGTATCTTTATCAGTGTTCCAAAACGACTTGTCAAGCGCAGAGGCCTTTTACAGAGAGGAGCCGGGTTGGCTCTGTGGAGCAGAAAAGGAACACAGACAGCCGGCTTTGCCGGGGCGGCATCAGAGGAAGAGCGTGACGACATGTGACTTCGCAGTTCCCATCTGTGCCGAACGGATGTGCCAGACATCAAGTTACCCTGGCAACAGCGAGCACCGGTTGGAGGTCACACAGAGAAAAAGCTCGATGCCGACCAAAACGCCTCTAGAATGTGTATCGCGCTCAGAGGGAGGCTGACGGGACGGGAGCTCCTTCACTCAGACGGGAAGCCAGAGAGCAAGCTGCGCGTTCATATATGGCTGCACGCAGACGAGCTCATGATGCATCTGGGAACATTTCACATCAACTGAGGAGTGAACGTGATGCAGAGAAAACATGACCTGAGGAAGACCAGGGATTGAACTCGATGACGCAAAAAAAGCCCCGTGGCGGTTTATCCCTTTCTCTTGTAAACACACGGCTCTGATTCTGAGAGGGGAGTTTCATTTCACTCACACACACAGATGTAATCTCTAACTAATCACATTTGCAGGCCTCGGACAGAGCAGCCGTACCACGGTGCTGAACAGATGGGCCCCCACGTACACGAGGCATCTCTGGGATTAGCTCAGCCAAACTAAAAGTAGCTGCAAATGACGCTGAGGGGGCTCTACAGACATCTACCTGTACCATCCTCCTCATGGTTGCAAAGACAAGTAATTTAGCCATAGATAAATACATGTAATACTCAAAGTGATGCAACTGAAAATGAGAACAGCGCTGCAACCAAAAGAGTGCTTGTATCTCCTCCAGGGTGTTCACATTGTTTCTGTTGGCAAGCAACACATATGAAACGTGATGCTTTTTGTCTACAGAGACGAGGAGCAGGACGAACCCTAAAACACACAGTGATCATCTGAAGCAGCATTAGCAAATAGGCGTACAGACGGAACTTGTGTCGCTTAAGATCGACGGCACAAATCCCCGGATAGAATACTCAATCAAGCGTATTCTATTGGACAACGTGAAACAGGACGGTGACAAAGAGTGTGTTAGATAGGCGGCCTAATAGTGAAAAAGGGCGTGAATTCATCTTAAAACTAATTCTGCCTGACAGCTTATAGAGCAGGCCCACTCAAGTGTGTGTGTGTGTGTGTGTGTGTTCCCAGTACATGTCTGTGGATATTCATGACCTCACAAATTAAAAAGGAACAATGCTAGATGAAGCTTCCTTTGGTCAAAGAGCTTTCTAAGTTTGAACAATGCAGATTGATATAGATATATATTGTGCACAGTTTATCTACTATCACACGTGCACTTAACATTAAAATGATCGACATGTACCTTCATCTCAGGTGTGGCACAACATCTGAGATAAAGCCTCAACATCAATACATGGTGGTCTGTCGGTACAAGTGATTACCGTCACTGCTTTAGACTGATATTGTTGGAGGTAGACGGCAATCAGAAACATGTGCTTGCTGAGTATTGTTGACGAGAGTGCTTTATACATCTATCAATTTAATGTATATCAATGTACATCAATGTACATCAATGTACATCAGCATCTATCAAACTGAACATGGAACTTCCCCCAGACTCAACACACCCTCACGACTCGTGCTTTTGCTTAACCGAGACATGCTACGGCTAAGACCAGTTAGGCTGCAGCTGTACACAGTATTGTTCGTGGGTGAACCCACGCCACACCCAAAGCACTCCCCGGAGGTTAACCGTGCAGGGGGGGATTCACCGCCAATGAGCGCGTGTAGTAGGTATGTTATTGCCGTTTGGGCTAACGGGACATTATGTCTCCTCCAGTCTAACCTAAACACGAGCAAACTGTGCATCGACTGGAGTCAAACTAAGTAAAGGAATCACAAAATGCAAACTCACCCAGACTCCCTCACCACTCTTTTCTCAAAAGGTTTCCACGTTAGCATGCTGCAAATTCTCGCTAGCTTGATGCTAACTTAGCTTTGGTAAAGGGAGCGCATGATTTATTATTTATCATTATGTCAAAAAAAAAAAACTCTCTCGGTGGTGCTTCTTCTCGGTGCGTGGTGTGGGGGCGACACGTGGGTGGAGGAGGAGAAAATGAAAAAATAATGTGCTAAAATAAAAACCTGTGCAACCAGCTACACATGGTCTGCATTACAACAACAACAAAAAGAACCGGGACAAGTCTTAGTATCGGTTCTGTCACATCTCCTCGTTAGCCTCCTCTTGGTGGATGCAGATAACGGAGCATCCTGCGCGTAAAAACGAACACATCCAAACGAGGCTGAACGTTAGCTCGCTACCTCGACGGCTGGTAGGAGGTGGTGGGGTTCTTCAACTCACCGAAGTTCTCCGTTTTCCTCCTTCTTCTTCTGGTATTCCAGCGGGTACATCCGAGGCCGCCGGAAGACCACGAGAGACAGCTAACAGGTTTGTTTTAACGTTCAGGACTCGACGATGCGCCTCGCTACAGAACAGCTGTGTTCTGTTTTGAATGAGGGCTGAAGGGGCGGAGCTAAGCGCTCAAAGAGGACCGGTCCGCCCATCATCCTCCTCCTCAACACGCCGGTTTAAGTTCATATATTCCCTTATAGACAGAAATATGTTGTTGTTGTTTGTTGTGCACATCAGTCAACAGGCTGCTGATACGAGTGTCGGTTAAACATGCTGACAGATGTTGCCTCGTGCATGTTGGACCCCCGGATAAAGATAAAGCGCACTGTGAGATTAAAAAAAAGGCGCAAAGTTCATGTCTTTGATTCTGACTCCCTCTTGTGGTCCATCAGTGATTGTAAGACTAACCGGTATTACATAGTGGTTTCACATTGTTTAACTGAGTACTTAACTTCTTTATTTGAGTATTTCAACTTTATGTTACTTTCTACTTCTTCTCCACCTCTTAAATCTCATTCTTTTTACTGCACTATGTTACTTTATGTGTTGCTTTTTTCTACTTTTTACATTAAAAAACATATATGCTTATAAGAATTGACGCACTACTATACTACCCAGTAGTAGTACACAAAGTATATGAAACTGGCTCCACATTGACAAACCACAACGTTAAAATGCTCTTAAATGTATTTGTTAGTGATAAAAACAGAATATCATATTCTATATTAATACAACACTGTAAAAGGGCCACTCTGCATAATGACTATAACTTTTGATACTTTTAAGTACATTTTACTTGTAAACTGTGTATTATGAGTACTTCCACCTCTGATAATGTCCCCCAGTTATTAACAATTCTAAAAACAGAATTATATTTTCCTGTTTGAATTACATTTGGTAATTTTGAGCTTCACTATTTACTACACAAGGTTTGTTCCAATTAAAGTAAATTAAATTAGTTGGCATGCCATACTAACATACACAATGGTTATGTCTACATAGTATTAAGGTTGATGCACACGACAATATGACGACAGTACACCGAGTTCTATAAGTTTATACCACAAGTCATCGTCCTTCAAAAGGCATTATAAATTATCTTGTACTGTACATGAATTACGACTCATTTTATTGCTTTTTCATCTACTTTATACATTTTAGCTGAAATCTACCAATACAAATAGTCACTACTACTTTGACTGTCGACACACTGCGAGTGAGGCAAACATCCATTTCATCATTCTATATTTTTTTAAACACATCATCTCCTACATTTGAACCTCTCAACAGGTTGTTTTTGCACACACAATCTTGTCCCCACACAAACAACCTGAACACCAAATAAAAAATAACTTCATCAAGTGTCACGTTCACTCCCCGAACTTGAGCTGCCTCTCCTTCTCCAAACCGTGCAGCTCCTTCGCCCGGTTCTTCAGCTCCTCGGCTTTCTTCTCGTCCTTCTCCGTGCCGTCCCCGAGTCTGTACATGCGACTGGCGTTGGCGCAGCCCCACACGTGTCCCAGCTCACAGGCCCTGCTGGCGTACTTCAGAGCTTGATTCATGTCCGGCGGCACTCCTTTGGCGTTGCCTCCAATGAACATAGCGCTGAGGTTGAAGCAGGAGGGAGCGAAGCCGCCGGCGCAGGCCTTCTCGTAGTAGTGCCGGGCTGCTGCGAGGTCAGGCCCCCCCTCGTTGGCTCGTCCGTCGTGGGCCAACAGGCCGACGTTGTGGCACGCGTCTACAGACTTCTTTCCGCCGGCGTGGCAGGAGCGCATGAAGCAGGAGTAGGCCGTTTTCAGACACTCTGTCACGCCGCCTGGTGGGAAGAACTTTAAATCCATCACTCGAATAAAAATCAGACATCAAGAGAGCAACAAAAGAAAGAGCTGCAAGTATCGACATTTAAAAGTACTCAGTTTAATATTCATGTGTTCACAAGTAAATCATATTCATCAATATACTTTATTAAATGTTTAGCCCATCACAAGTAGGGCTGGGTGATAATTTAATATAATGATTTAACGTCTTTCAACTGAGTCATATAGAGATATCATGATTTGTCTTAATTGATGACAAGAAGCACATCAAAGTTTCTAAGACAAGAATTCTGCTCATGGGGATACCTCAGTGTTGTTAAATCTTACTATCGTCTTAATCAGATTGCTCTGTATTCGTGTGCTTGCATGTCCACGTAGTCAGTGTATAGCAGGAAATATATATTATTTTTTTCTCTATAATTTCACTTGGAACTGTTCTGTTAGTTTTGCACTAAAGTTCTTGATTAAATGAGAAAATACTCGCAAAAATAGGATTATTTCATATAGACTATTTATTTACTTACCAGAAAACATGCCATATTGTGATTTATATCTTTATGGAGGTATGAAATTTTGTTTTCATGTATATTTGCTGAGAAAAACTTTATCTCGCAAAGTAACCAGTGACTTCACTACATCTATAGAGTTCACTGTACTTTGCTTGAATACTTAATGTCATATTTAGTCCCATTCATGCGCACAATGTAAACACAAACACCAGAGAGGATGAAATAAGGAAAGCAAAGAGCCACGTTGCCGTTCTACCTTTGCCGGTGACGTGGTAGGCCCCCAGTTTATAGCAGCTCTCTCCGTGTTTATTTGTTTCACAGTTGTGTTTCAGCACTTGTGCCGCAGACTCGTAGTTTTTCTTCACCCCTTCCAAGTAGTCCGAGAGCCTTTGGCACCCTGAGAGCAGCATGTCACAAGGAGAAGGAGGCAGACGTGTGAGGAATTAAGCATTCCTAGTATGTTTAATAGCACCCTACTGGTGGATATTATATGTCAATATTTACTTATGGAAGTTTTAAACCATGGAGTGTGGTCATTGAATATATTGAGTGTCTGTGAGGGGGGCTTCCAGATCACGACCATATAAAGTGGTGAGTGAGGTATGTGCCAAGAGCGGGGGATGGACAAAAGTGGCTGTAAGGAGGGGGGGGGGGGGGGGGCTGACCAGAACAACAGGTCAAAGGCCAAGGAGGAGCTTATTGGATTTCAGCCAATCATTGAGCTGATCGATGGGCTAAGGAATGTGTAATATGAGACATTTCAGAGACTCTGCAGGGACAAAGGGTTTGAAACTCTGGAAGACTTCAGATTCTCTGCGGGCCATCGGGCAGGGGCCACCACCCTGTCGGGTGGTACGGATAGGACCTCAATTCCATGGAATATATATGTATAATCTTGTAATTCATAGGATTCATAGGGGGACGACGTGGCTCACTGGGTTAAGAGGGTTGTCTGGTAACCGCAGGGTCAACGGTTTGATCCTCGACTGTCGTCGATCAAGGGTCAACGTGTCGTAGTGTCCCTGAGCAAGACACTGAACCCCCGGCTCCCCGGGCGCCTGTCATTGGCAGCCCACTGCTCCCTATATACAGGGATGGGTCAAATGCAGAGGTCAAATTTCGTGTATATGTATATGACAATAAAAATGGTTTCTTTCTTCAGTTTGTAACTGTTTTAGCTTCTGTTAATTATTAAATACTTTTGATTTAAACTTCAACCAGTTGATTCGGCCTTATCTTGCTGACGGGTCAGGAGCAGAGAGAGGGGGGCTTTTTCCTTTGCCTTTTGTTTGAGAAATTCTGAACATAACAGACGTCACACATCAAACACTCAAAGTTACATCTCTGTCAGAACTAAAGGAGATGCCTTTTGAATCTGCAGAGAAATATAGTTACGTGGAATAGACTCAGAGACACAGACACAAGGCAGTTATCTTTCTGCTGACTTTAACGGGTAAACTACTGCTTCTAGTGAGGCGATGCATTTCCAGTGGATCCTTTAGTCAAACATTTATTTTTTCCTATTGAACTCATCAGAGCTACATTAAAGGGTAATGACAACCTCTTACAGTGTTTGGAAACCCTTCCTTTATACTCTTGGTGATCTTGACAGGGCGCATGGACTTTGTTTTCACAAATAAGTCATGTACACTGCTTTTCCTTGTCTTTGAAATGGTACTGATGTATATAAAAATGTATATAATGTAATTCATATGTAGGCATAAATTAATGCAACCCAGGTTAACTAATTTATTTATTTGTGTTCTGTAATTTGGCAATATCTGTGCTGTGTTCTTGCTTTGGTTATGTATACAATTATATTATACATTATACACATATCTATTAAAATAATACTAATCTCTAGCTGGTGTCCAATGTTTCAGCACCATTAATCTGTGAACAGCGCACGAGAGTTACCTTCAGGGTCGTTTTCTTTGTAGCATTGGAAGCTGTACTCCACTCCCAAATTATCCAAAAACTGCTCCACTTCCTTCTGATCTTCAAAGTTTATAAGTCCGGCCATATTTATTTTTTTAACGTGACTTTAATCGCATGTGCTGAAGGATTAGCTCCCACTACGTCCACTGTGACCTTGTTGAATGGGTAACCGAGCACTGGAGCACTGTTACGAAAGCGTTTCCTTAAAATAAAATAAATAAAAAATACCAAATAGAGATGATTACCGGTAACTGTAGAGGTGTAGTAAAAGCGCACTATGGTTACTTATACAATAGTTTTCCTTTGCAAACAGTAGAAGAACATGCTCACGCGTGTCTCACCGGTGTCTCTGCTGATGAATCTCTTCCTGGTTTAATAACCCTCCTTTACAGGCTTCCGTAGTCCCACCCCCCTTTTTTCCGCGAATGCACTTCCAGTGTTGTGACGGTTGTGACCTTTTGTTTACTGTCTGTCTTGTCAAAAAATAGAAACTAACTAGCTGGCCGTGGGAAACCATATTCCTCCCTCCTGCTTACTATATTACAGAGCTTCGGACGCAACGGGGATTAGTCGATATATATATATTTTTTAAAACATGAATTCCGCCACAACAGACAGCTTTCGACGTGTTTGCACGGGGAGCGATTTACCTCAACGGAGGCGACCACAAGTGAGCTAGCTGGTTAGCTAGCTGGCTAACGAACCGGTCGGTGCTCGCTCGTCGTCCTCCGGTCCAGGTTTCTGTGTTGTTAGACAGGTTAGCGTGACGTCCGGCCCTCAGGCAGGTGGAGACTACAAACTGAAACTGCTAAAAACGGAGTCGTTTTAGCATTTTTTTTTTTTTTTTGCCGAAATATTTTACAAACCATGGCCTGTAGTTTCCTAAACACGGTGAGTTTTTGTGCTCTTTAATCACGCCGTTGAAAAAAAAGTAAAACAACAAAGGACATTGAATGCATCTAACGGGTCCCCCCTTTTTGTTGTTGTTTTGCAGGATGAGGCGTCTCCACCGGCTCTGACGGACCTGTGCCTGACCCACGTGAGCCAGAACCTGGAGTGTTTTTGTGTGAAGCGCCCCGATGGCTCCCTGTGCTTCAGAGAGGCGGTGCTCTTCCCGCAGGAGCTGGCGGACCAGCTGCTGGCCAAGATGGCCACTGAAGGTAAACCTGGGCCCTATTTAAAGACTAGTTTTTACACTTGTCAAATCACCTGTTGAACCGTCAAATACCAAACCCTGAAGAACATCAATAATGCATACTTTCAAAGGCTACTTAATCTGATGGTATGTGTGTTGTCACTTAAACCCAAACCCTGCTGTTGGTAAACAGATGCAGTATTGTGCAAGTCCTGCTCAGCCCTGCATGAATCCAGAAATTAAACGTCTCATTCCACCGCAGGTCTGTTGAATGACAGCACCGTGGGTGTATTTCGGAACTGTGAATACCTGCGCCTGAGACGTGCCTGCATTCGTACGGCGCGCATCTCTGCGGAGGCCTTCCAGAAAGCCCTCTGCTCTCACAGACTGCTGGAGCTGGATGCTGCCAGGGTCAACGCGGACCTCACTATTCCTGATATCCTACAGGGACTGGCCTCCAATAAGTATTGTCAGGTAAAGTGAGAGTTTGTTTGAAGCACCCTTGATATTAAAAATAATTGAAACTTGTTAAATGTTTGTTGTTTTCTCCCCATACGTCCTACAGGAGTCCCTCCAGCGACTCGTCCTAACGGGTCTCACCATGTCCTCTCTGGAGGAACCGATCCGGCATCGCTTCAGCTCCCTCCAGGGCCTCCGCTCCCTCTCTCTGGCCAACGTCGACTTCTACGACTCCGGGCTCGTCGACGTGTGTTCGCTGCCTCGGCTGGAGAGCCTCGATCTCTCCAACACCTCGGTCACCAACCTGAGCCCGCTGCTGGGCCTGAAGGAGCGGCTGCGCTCGCTAACTCTGCACCAGCTGAAGAGGCTGGAGATGAGCACCGCTCAGCTGCTGGGAGTCATAGGCCAGTTGGATGTTTTGCAGGTTAGTGGGAGGAAGGAGCCGCGCTGTGTGTCTGCTATTAAACCCGTTTTTATTTGATTGATTTGTACTGAGAAGAACACTTTCTCCATGCTTGTTTTGTTCTTTACATCCACTGCTAATGCAGCACCTGGACATCAGCGATGATAAGCAGTTTACCTCTGACGTGGCTCGTCAGCTGCTTGGACAGCCAGGCATCCTGCCCGCTCTCATTTCCCTGGATGTGTCTGGGAGGAAACAGGTGTGTGTGTGTTTATTTTTCTCTCTGGGCATTTCAGTTAGATTGCAAAGGAAGCATACGGGCTAAATGTGTGTGAACATCGCAGGTCACAGATGCAGCTGTCAAGGCGTTTGTGGAGGAGAGGCCGGGGATGACCTTTGTGGGACTTCTGGCCACAGATGCTGGGTTTTCCGACTTCCTCTCAGGAAAAGGAACTCTCAAGGTAGGTGTAGATGTTTGCGTTATCATTGCAACATTACGCATTGAAATGCAGGTTTGCTACAGAAAGCTGTGTCTTGTGTGTAAACAGGTAACAGGAGAGGCCTACGAGACCCAGATCTGCGAGGCCCTGCGGCGCTACAGTGAGAGGGAAGGGTTCGTGAGAGAAGCTCTGTTTCATCTGTTCAGCCTGACCCATGTCATGGAGAAACCGAGGCCCGACATCCTCAAGGTGAAACCACGTTGTTGTACTTTGACATTAAGTCATTTTTCTCATTTCAATAAATTTTTTTGCCTTATTTCAGAGAAAACTATGTAGATTGTCACATTACATTGTTTTAATAGTTAATATGAGGAACATCTAACATGTTATGAAGCAGTCTAATTGTAATAGTGATGCCTCTATAGGACCTACTACATCAGGGCGGTGGAGACTGTCGGACCCTGCTGCAGTGAAATTATTTCTAAAGGGCCTCTGGTGCTTTGAAACACTACCGCTTTTATCCACAGGGACCGCCAAAAGCAACACAAAATGAAATGTCCTCATAGTAGCTTTAAGCATTACATCTAATGTCTGAATCACATATTTATCTGAGAAGCTCTGGGGTGTCATATTTCATTCTAGAAAGTTTTATGTCAAAGCCCAACACCCCCACTAGCTTTCCGCACACTTCCTCATCTGTCCATTTAACACAATATTACTTTCTTCTTCCCTTGTTTTTTTTCCCTAGCTGGTAGTTTTGGGTATGAAGAATCACCCCGCCACTCTGAATGTCCAGCTGGCAGCGAGTGCCTGTGTGTTCAACCTGACGAAGCAGGACCTGGCAGCAGGAATGCCGGTGCGACTGCTGAGCACCGTCACTCAGCTTCTACTGGAGGCCATGAGGACGTTCCCCAACCACCAGCAGGTAGCTTCCATGCCTGCGCTGCCGTCATAGTGGCTTACGTCATGGATGATATCAATCACAATCAAACGTGAAAAAAGGAAAAACCTGACAGAGTTTACCAGCACAGGGATCCCTGAGAAAAAGGTTGTTTGCTTTTCCATCGAAGAGTTAATCCTCATGGATGAAATATCATGATACAAATATCTTTTGTCATAGAATGTCACCAGTTTCCATCAATGACGGACAAGCCAAGCAAGGCACAGATATCTGTAGAAAACTGTCTCTGCTGAGCTACAAAACGTCAGTAACACCATTTCTAAAATAAGCCAACTGCTTAGAATGTGGATTTTGTTACAGTAAAGAGACAAAGTGCAGGAGCACACATGTATAATATACTCTAGTAAATGTATTTATTACTAAAATATAGAATGATTTCAATTTGCTTCATAATAATACTGGAAAATATTAAATTAAGTGTCAAAGTAAATGTTGATTTACATTTGTGAATGAACTGTTTTCAGTCATCGGTAGCTCGGACCAGTGAGGTTGTGATCGATACAGTCATGTGATGGAGAGTAGAGGCATTGCTCGAGTTTACTTAACTGCTGTTAAGCGTTAATTTAGTCGGCAGGATGAAGTTGGCGGTGGGACTCTCTGTTAGTTTAGTAAAATCCCAGAGAGGACAAGAAGAATTGTTTTGCAAACTCACCTCATCGTGTCAGCCTGAACATTGTGTTGTGTTGGGGAACTTCCCACAGCCCCAAACACAGTGCAGCTTCCCTTTTTATTTGTTTTCCTCACCGCGAATGGAGAGCAAATAGAGAATACAGTGCAATGCGAGACCATTGTGCTTTGTGAACCATTAATGAAATATTCAAATCCGTGTGACCTTCACTGGAACTTTGGACTGATGCCTGTTTTGGTTTCTCCGTCTGCAGCTGCAGAAGAATTGCCTCCTGTCTCTGTGCAGCGATCGCATTTTGCAAGAGGTTCCATTCAACAGGTGACAAATACAAATAGCACAAAGTCTTTTGAGAAGGACTAAATGTATAAAAGATTGACACGATCATATCGTTAAACAAAGGTTCTCTATGTCTACAGTAGAAACGTTTTCCTCCTCTCTCTGTGTGGCAGGTTTGAAGCTGCCAAACTGGTGATGCAGTGGCTCTGCAACCACGAAGACCAGAACATGCAGAGGATGGCCGTGGCTATCATTTCCATACTGGCTGCTAAGGTAAAAGTTCTACTGTATTTGTATCACATGTGCTTTTATGAATGCATTCTTGTTGTGTTCTTCCTAAACGCTAAGACTTTTGCTTTTCCCAGCTGTCCACAGAGCAGACGGCTCAGCTGGGAGCAGAGCTGTTCATAGTGAAGGTACGGTTCTCTTTTCGGCTCTGATCATTTAATAATGATCGTTTTCATTACTAATATGCTCTCTCTCTTTCCCTTCCTGCAGCAACTGCTCCACATTGTGCGTCAGAAGGCCACTCAGGGCGTAGTGGACGCCACCCTCAAGTTTACGCTGAGTGCACTCTGGAACCTCACCGATGAGTCGCCGACGACCTGCCGCCATTTTATCGAGAACCAGGGCCTGGACCTGTTCATCAAAGTTCTAGAGGTAATGTCCAGAGAAATGTCCACATGTAAATAAACAGCAGGCGCTGCCTACAAAACAACTCGGGGGGCAGATTAGCATGCTCGTTAATCATCGCATGTAGAAGTATGCGTGACTTCGGGGGCCGGCTGACTCACTGTTTTCTTCCCCCTCCGCAGTCCTTCCCCATCGAGTCCTCCATTCAGCAGAAGGTTCTCGGCCTGCTGGTGAGTTCACCGCTCGCTCATTACCCTTTATAGAAACGGAATAACTTTACTTTATTAAGACACCATTGTTCCCCTTTCACCTTTTCGCCGTGTAGAACAACATAGCGGAGGTCGGGGAGCTGCACGTGGAGCTGATGGTGCAGGGCTTCCTGGACCACATCAGCACCCTGCTGCACAGCCCAGAGGTGGAGGTCAGCTACTTCGCCGCGGGCATCCTGGCACACCTGACGTCACGAGGAGAGGAAGCCTGGACGCTCAGCCGAGAGCTTCGGGCCTCGCTGCTGGCGCAGCTGGTAGGAAACCGCGAAACCACTTCCTGCAACATGGATACCGGCATTACTGTTATTTTAAAAAGTTAGTTTGAGTCGTCTGCATTTTTGTGTCTCTCTAGCATGACGTCATCATGAAGTGGCCCGCGCCCGAGTGTGAAATGGTGGCCTACAGGTGAGGCGCAGCTTCTCTACAGTAAAATAGCCGCATTTCTCACCTAAAAGTTTCTTAATTTTAGTCACAGGACTACTTTTAAAGGAACTCACAGGTTCCTTCAGCCCATCGTTGACAAATGAGTCCACTGGTGTATGAAAAAGCGACATGACACACTGCAGCCTGCAGCTCAGAGCGTCTGTGTCCACAGTAAATCATCTGTTGATGGTTCTTTATTTGTGCTCCAGAACGTAGCTGCCGTGATGCAATCAGAAAATAGCTTTTTCTCTCTCATTCAGAACGCTCTCTCTCTCTTCTGACACTTGCAAGATCCCTCTCTTTTTTTTTAAATAAGCCAGAAAGCGACAACAAACTTCACTTTTAATGTTGTCAAACAAAGAGAGATCCTAAAATGCTCCTATCGACACTAGAGAAAGTCCTTGTTTTATGAATGAAGCGGTACACGAGTTGACGCTGCGGCGCTGTGTGTTTGCGACAGTCGTCCTTGCAAACCTCAGAGAGTACTATCCCCCCCCCCCCGGACCAGGGCTTTTTGAGGGGTAAAATGTCCCCAGAACTTAATTTAGACCCTGCAGGCAAAACGCAATGAGTTCCTCTAAAGGTTCCCAGTTTCTGAGGAAAGAGGCTCATAATAAAGCAAAAAAACAATTAAATCTAAACAAGAAGGTCCGCGTTTTACACAGATGTTATGACCAGAACCTGATTCAGCATTCATTACCTGTGACACAAGTTAAGGAAGGACAGATATCAAGGTCATTTTCATACAATACTCAATCTATTTAAAATGTTCTTTATATTGAGCTTTGTACCTTTGAGTCAGAACATGCTTTTCTTAAGCCATAGATACACAGAGAAGGACATGTGACATAGACTAAATACTAAATATATTATTTCTGTTTCTCATTCTTTAGGTCATTTAACCCCTTCTTTCCCCTGCTGGAGTGCTTTCACACCCCCGGTGTCCAGCTGTGGGCGGCCTGGGCCATGCAACACGTCTGCAGCAAGAACGGTGAGACGGACACGTGCAAATACACAACTCATCATCGTAATGCTAGTTTTATAAATTAGGCCATTCAATCGCAATCCACCGCCATCTGTCGAGGCAGTCGCTCACTCGCTCGCTCGACCAAGCGGCTGACAGGCTTGGATGTTGTGTGTTTCTGCAGCCGCTCGCTACTGCAGCATGCTGCTGGAGGAGGGCGGCCTGCAGCAGCTGGAGCTCGTTCATACGAACCCACAGACCCACAAAGACGTCAAGCTGTTGGCTAAGAGCATCCTGGAGAGCCTGCAGCGCCACAGTGCCCGCACCGGGCAGCCCGCCGCCACCATCGCCTCGCTGAGGTAAAGACTCACGCGCCGAGTACTGATCATGTGCTACAGCGGCCTCGCGCTGGACGGAGGTCTTTCAGTCTTTTTTTACATTTTTTCTCTTTCAGAAAATGAGGCTCCCGGACCAAGAGTGAGCCGACTCCCACCACAGAGGGGACTTCATCAAGGAAACACAGAGGAAAAAGACTCCGCAATTCTTTGCACACACACACACTAACTTTATTTATTTTCTTTTGTTTGTTTCTTGTGATTGAAAAAAATTATTTAATTATGAGAACTGGTGGTCAGTTAAGATTTTAATACCAAAATAATGAAAAAAACCTTTCAGTGCTCACGTGCAAATCTCAGTTTGAGGGTCCCGCCTCTGGGTCCTCAATACTGCTGCTGCGCTCCTCTTTATTTAGTCCTTTTTACCAGCTAATGCCTTTGATTTGATGCGACGGGACACTCGCCTGAGGGCGGTGTTCACTGGGTTCAAATGTTCCAAATGTTAAAGATGAAAACCTTAACTAAACGCATCTCTTTGAGAAGCTCCAGTTTATTTACTTTCCTCAACATTTGGCAGCCGCTAAATCAGAAGATCCAGAGTAGAGTTCAAGCGTCCCCTCTGGACACGAATGGCAATAATGATTTTTGGTCAGTATAGTGGTGACATATTTACACGTGTATTATGGAGTCACAGCTGTGTTTTCTCTTTGTATATATGCGTATGTTCGCTGTGCTTTCATATGCGTGTCACATTCTGAGACAGCGCTTCGGTGTGAGCATGCGTGTGTAAGTACGTCTGTAGCTGCATCTTTAAAATCAATAAACGTGGATGTGATTTGTACATAATAGAAAATGAGAGAGAAACAGGACGTCGGGTTGTTCAGTATTGGTTGCATGGAAATTATTATACTGCGTGTTCCATTGTTCATCTGAGAATTATGATTAAGAACAAAGTAAACGGAGATATATGGGAAATATTCATGAGTGGAAACATTAGTATCCAACCAGGTACACTTCCACTGTCCAGAGCAGCTGACCGTTGAGCCCACATTCTCTCTCATTCAGGCCCCAACATCCTCCTCTATGCAATCCAAACTAAACTAATGTTGCTTATAAAACTGCTGTCAAACCCTGATTCAGTCCCGATACGACTCGTTGGACATAGAGATACGATATTGGGCTACTTAATGGTACTAAAAAAACAGCTGTCAGCAAAACACACATCACCTCATCTGCTCAGTGAATTATTGTTTTCTGTGCATCGATTGTCGTATGAGCTTGCTAGTCGTGCATGAGCTGATCTCATCGGCTTCAACAAAGGCAGAGAGCAGCAGAATCTGTGTGTAGTTCTGTTGCTCCTGATGCGTCGGATTGTTTAGTCGAGCCTCCGAACATCGGCCAGTGTCGGTTTAATTCAAGATGGAAGATATAAAAAGTAGAAGATCCTGTGCGTCTGTTAGGACTGTGCCATGTTGCTGCTGAGTCACGTTATCATGTTTGGAAATAAAGAATGTTCATTCCCATAAACTGGAGATGACACTTTGTGTGATTTGTCTTTTTATTCCAAAGATGACATGAAGAAGTACGGAATGTGTGAATTGAACGTTAAAATCTATGGAAGTAGCAATGAGACATAAGGAGGAACTATCTCCAAATAATGAGTCAGCATCTCCAAATAACCACATATTCTCAATATTTTGATTTTGTATCTGTTTCCTAAAATAATGATTTTGTCGGCTCTCTCAAAAAAATTTGACACATTCTCAATATTTTGACTCAGTATCTCATTACTTTGAGATACCGAGTCATTATTTTGAGAAAGATTCTCATTTTCAGATGTTAACTCATTGTCTTGAGAATCATTTCTCATCACGGTGGCTTCCATAAAAGTCACCCTCCGTCAGTCTGATCCTGAACGTCACAAAACACTGGTGCTGACCTCCGCTGGTGTATCGACACAGTGGCTGGGATGCACACACCAAATCAATGGGTGTTAATTGTCTACCAGACATGAGGTTTTATATCCGAGTCTGTGAGAGAGAATTCAATAGTGCGAAAGAGTTTATTCCCCAGTGTAGCGCGGGGGTCTCTTCTCTAGGAAGGCAGCCATTCCCTCCTGTCTGTCCCGCGTGGAGATGACCTGAAAACAGAGGGGACGGGTTACATGAATGTGTAACGCATCACGGGGATCATTAGCGTCCGACAACCATCACGCAAAATGATGTTTTTCGAAGCATTAGAGAAGCAAAGGGAGTCGGGTCTTACCCGAGTGTAACACATCCTCTCTATCGCCATCGCTGCACTGATGTCGACCTGGAAGAGACAGATTTCAGTCACCACCATCACTGATGTAAAACATATTAAGTCTATGAATCACGCTGTACCTCAATGCCTCTGTTCACCGCCTCTTTTGCCAACCGCACAGCGATGGGAGCCTGGCCAACAGAAAGGAAAGACCGTTAAAGCCATCGCCATGAAAGGGAAATATGTCCGGCACAAAAAGTAGAAGAATAACCAAAAGACTTATTGTATATTGTGATATATTGCAGGAGTCAAATCTAGGGTTATAACCCCGATGATGTCATAGTGATGTCACATCTCTCGGCCTGGGCTCGGCGACACGTTTAGAACAGAAAGCGTTTGAAAGACGTGTTTGGAGGGGAGGGACGAAAGACGCAGATGAGTTGCATTATGGGAAATGTGGTGTGTGTCTTTGGAGCACGGATTCTGACCACTGTTTGTTGTTTTTAAAAGTACTTTGCTACAAGGACCTTTAATTTTGAGTTGATTTTGGCGGTCACTGTGAATAAAAGCGAGAGTGTCTCCGAGCACCACAGTCCCTTTAGAAAACCTCATGTTACTGCAGCAGGGTCTGACTCAGTCCTGGTTCTGGTTCTTCCGAGCCCGCTGCCGGAGTCTGAGCTGAAGAAGTTTCTGGTGAATCTTCACATCATCTGACATGATCACAGGCATGAAAACAACTGTATAGAAATCACCAGTATTCTCGCTGAGGGTCTCGTCTGCTTATGTAGGTCCTATAAAGGCATCAGTACTGAATCAAGACTGTTTCATTACCAGTTAAAAGTTCCTCGCAATAACTTTAAATAGCACTCAAATGCAACGGTTGGGACTCCGAAACATTTACACACTGAAGCCTTTTTCTCCCGAGGCCACAACAACACTAAGAGAAAAATCCTCGGGCTCAAGCAGCTCATTATCTCCTCCGTGCTACCTCACTTTCATTCAATGCAAACTCCTGTCAATCACTAAATCCACATCAACACAGGCATGCCTCAGTTAGTGTGAGAGTGTGTGTGTGTGTGTGTGTGTGTGTGTGTGTGTGTGTGTGTGTGTGTGTGTGTGTGTGTGTGTGCAGTGCTATTTGCGGTCCATTTCTCCACTTGACTGCCACTCTGGCCCTGCAAACTGAGGGCATCTGAGCTGGAGTGAAAGAAATATGGAGCGACAGAGGGCCTGGAGAGAGGGAGTCGAGAGGGGGAGGAGATGGGAGAGAGAGAGAAAACACAAGGAAAGGGGGTGAAGAAGAAGAAGAAGAAATGTGTGTTTTGCTCTCTAACCTGGGGCAGTATCTCTCTGGCCAGGCTGAGCGCCTCTGCGTACGCAGCGTCTCCGCTCTGGTTCTGTTCAACAGCTCTGTTCACGAGCCCGATCTCCAGAGCCGTCTGTCCTCCCACACGCTTACCTGACAGACAGACAGACGGGTCAAAGTCTGAAACGCAAAGCCCCTCGCTGAACAATAACCATCCTGTGTCTACAGCGACGTGTCAGCGTTTCTGTTACACCACCTGTGAAGATGAGCTCTTTGGCCAGAGTGATGCCGATCGTCCGCGGCAGCCGCTGAGTGCCCCCTGCAGGACAGAACCACCTCAAGGTTAACTTCTCACAGCTGCTTTGTCTCTCTCTATACGTGCACACTCGGTACTTTGCAAGGTCTTTTTTTTTTGTGACCTCTCATTGTCTTACCCGCCCCCGGGAGCAGCCCCCGCGTCGTCTCAATCAGACCCATCTGTGCAGTGTACGCTGAAACACACACACACACACACACACACACAGAGGACAGTTGAAGGTCTCTGTGCTGCTGAGGGCCATTAAGGTGTGGGGGGTGTGTGTGTGTGTGTTGGGGGGCGTAAAGTATGACTGATGCCTCTGACGCAAACACCTGCTAACCAAGCTCGTCAGCGCTCAGCCAATTACGGAGCTGCCACGAGCTCGATGGCATGAACAGCTGGGCAGATGTGTCTGGCCTCGGCAGCCATCATTAGTCCCCAGAGCTCAGCAGCAGATCATTAAGACCGCGTGCAACGGGAACAACAACAGACTTGTGTTTTAGCTCCACGATTTCTAGATGTTTTTGTTTAAATAGCTCAAAAGCTTAACCCCTTAACATCTGGTTTCAACCTTTAGTTTTTAGATTCTGTAATTACCTATAATGAATGAAAACATTGATAAATGGTTCTAGAAGTGACGAGACAGCAGCTTCTGTCCTGACCCTTTCTAACAGTTTGATTGATCGACACCGATGGGTTAAGGGAGGCCTGTCAATCTAGAACAATGGCCCCATAAGTGGTCGCTACTGTCGTCCACCGTCCCACTGAGCCACTTATCCGATACGAGCGGACCGGTGACAGCTTGTGAAGAGAACATGGCGTCCCCTTTCACACACAGTTAACGTCACCTGAGGGACCAAAGAAGAACATTAAATGTGCTCAAAAGAGGAAAATGCGGACTCATCCAGTTCAGAGGTTCACTCACCGGCAGTGCGGAGGTCACAGGCCATGGCCAGCTCCAGCCCGCCTCCCAGGGCGACGCCGTCCATCGCCGCGATGGTCGGCATGGGCAATGAAGCTGCCGGGGCGTTACAATGAACAGAGAACACATCAGCACTGGGACTCACTCTTCACCTCACACGCTCTCTGTCTTACCTATCTCAGTCATGAGCGATCGCAGGCCGTGAACAAACAGATCGGACTCGGCGTGGTTCATCCCGGCCCTCTCCTTCAGGTCTGCACCTATGATAACGTACACCGTCGCACGTCATTTAAAAACAGCCTTTGAGCACAGATCCAGAGGCACGGCAGGTTGTTTTCGGTCGCTCTAGACAAAAACTTACCTGCACAGAAAACACCCGGCACCAAACTCCTGAAGACGACCACGAGAGCGGCTGAGTCACAGGACAGAGTGGACACCAGATTTTTCATCTGCACACACGGGACACGGTGTCTCAGTCAGTGTGTGTGTGTGTGTGTGTGTGTGTGAAAGAGAGAGACAGGTGATGATGATGATGATGATGAAGGGGGCTGCTCACCTGTGACACAAACACGTAGCCCAGAGCGTTTTTTTTCTTGTGTCGGCACAACAACACCTCCACTATGCCTGAGGAAGAGAGAGCAGCAACTTACGGTAAATCTATCGATGCTTTTACATGTTGATCAGTCTTGATGCCAGAACTACGGAAGCCCTGAGCGGCAAGTGAGAGAAAGGAATGAATCTGGTGATCCATTTTTATGAGGTCTGATTACAATTTTGTTTCTCTTCTTCGTTTATGATTTAAGAGTAAGTGAATTGTTTTCAAAATAAGTATCTTGTTTATTTCCATCTGTGAAACAGGCGGATAAAAGACATTTTGTCAGGTGAATATTTTTTTTGTCAAGAATCATTTTTTTAAGTTGTTGTTGTAATACTCATTTCGGCCACAGGAGGCAGAACTGCACCACTACCACATGTTCTCAATAGGACTAAAAGCATTAATGTTTCCTTACAGGTGAGTTTAAATTGACATAGCTAGCTAACACAAAAATATAAGTACCTTGTGTTTGGGAAGAAAAAAAAAATGTAATCTTATCCTTAAATCATAAACCCAGGAGAGAAAACAATTTGGATCGGACTGAGAAGAGTCTACGGAGGAGGAGACCTCGGCTGCGGCTGAAAAATCCAAAAATGACCTCCTGACGTCTATTCCTAACCACTTTTCCTCGACCTCTATGGAAAACGTCACGGGGTCAAGGAAAGATGTGAAGGAGAGTTCATGAGGAGTTAAGAAAAGACGGATTAGAGAATCCAACTCCACTTTCACTGAGCTACCTAATTATGATGCGACGGCGGATGTCACTGACGTAGGTCTTTCATGGAGAAACTACAACAAAGGACTACAAAAAGCGCAACTAAAGCATGACCCCATTAAATCTGTTTCTCAGCATGCATGCAGGTTATATAAAGAGCTGCTTTTGTGAGAGGCTGCTTCACTCGTGGTGTGAAGAAGAGAAACCGGAGCTCCTTCCTTCCTTCCTTCCTTCCTTCTGCTGTTACACTTAATCAACATGCTTCAAACCGATAATTCAACATCAAGAAAACTGTTCAATATCAATGTTTCCTTTATGCAATAACGTAGATTCGGTTATATTTTGCTTTTTAACTGTTTAATAATTTATCATAGGCCAAGCTTGCTTTTTGTTATTTTTACTGGTGGTTCTTGCTTTTGAGAATTTGTACATTGTTTGCTATCTTTACTGTTTATTTACATGTTCAAGGTAAATAAATAAATACATACAAAATGATACAAAAGGCTTGTCACTGTCTATTCATCCACTAACACAAATCCTGTATGAGTAATTATTAAACCTGTAAGATAAGCATATCTTTTGTTTTCATGGAAGGTCGAATGTTGCGTCACTTTAAAATGGTGCCGCCGCAAGGAATTGTGGGGCTGCTTTATCTACGGTCCTTTCATAAAGGAAGGTCCAGTGTTTGCTATGCTAAAGGAGCTAATAAAGGAAGCATTGAAGCACCTTTCCTTAGCATTTAGAGTATTATCATGGCGACCACTTAGATACTTCTGGGTCGTTTCGCTCAGTTAGGAACCTTTCTGAGCGAAAAGGAATATTCCTCCGCAGCCCAGAATTGTTCTTTCTCTCACTGGCCTCTCAGGGCTTCCGTACGTGTACTATGTCATGACTAAGAGTCAAGTCAGTGTGGAAGTCTATTCCTGTCTGAGAAAGAGGTAGAGCAGCAATAATTTAAAGAAAAGAAGAAGAAAAATAGCACATTTTATGATCAAAGGGATTAAATAAGTGTTCATGGATTCTTGATGAATGGACACGATCTATTTCAATAATGAATAATAGTTAGATCCTCCGTCTTATATTGCAACTGATAACTATTTTTTGGGTTTTGGAAAATATCTGGAGTTCTAGGAAACTGATGTGAGTTGATGCATGTTGTTTTTTAGCAGCTAATTATGAAAATAGTAGATTAATAAATAAAATAAATCATTTTCAGTTGCAACCCTAATTGAAATAAATTGCCTCCATAACTCACATTTGAGATTATTTCGCATTGATTTTCTTATTAAGCTTCATGTGTTTAATAATTAACTTGCCACGAGTGTCCTTCCTTAAAGTAACAGCATTTTAGAGAAATGTTTTGAGAATATTTTATGTGAACAAATAAACATTTAGGTTTCCGCTTAATGTGAGGAAAACAGACCCATGGTCCATATATTCCTCTACAGAGAATCATTGATATAATAACTAAAATAATTAAACAAGCTCCCTCGACACAACTTCCCATTTGAATAATTTTCCAGAAATAAAAAGCACTTGAGGGAATATAACCTGTTCTTCTTCAGTGAGTAAGCAAGTACATGTATTTGTGCAGAAACAGCATAAAGTATGTAGAACATCATGCTGTGGTATCACATGGATCCCTGAGAGGTTACTGTCAAACAGTGACAGTTTGAACAACGTTGAATCCCACAAGTGTGTCTCTCCTACCCTTGTCTTCCCCCTCTAACCGCTTCACATCCACCTCCACCGGACCGGCCGCCTGCGTGTGCTGCCCGCGGCTGTGTGCGCGACAGCACGCCGGCAGAGGGCGGCCGTCGCCGGCCAGCAGCAGCGGCGATCCGCCCCGGGGGACCAGAGCGGACGTTCGGCTGTGCGTTTCCCGCAGAATCACTCCATTCCACGGCCCCGACGAGCACCTGCGACCTGCGAGTCTGCGGAGGAGAGTTGCCATGTTTGTTGCTGTTCAGTTCTCAGAAGCAGGAAGATCCAGCAGAGCAGCAGGAAGTGGGCGTTTCTCCCTGTGAGAGGAGGGACTTTCAAATCAGCAGTGACGGACAGTTTGAGATAAAGCTGTACGCACCAGAGAAACACGGGCGCAGGACACAGTGGGCCCCTCCAACTCTGCTGTATATAGAAGACATTGTAGAAATTAGTTGTTCAGCCTCTTTTTGTTTTATGTCTCTTTGTAGTTGTTTGTGTCTTTTAGTGGTTGTTTTGTGTCTCTTTGTGGTAGTTTTGCCCCTTTTCATAGCTGTTGTGAGTGTTTTTGTAGTCTTTTGTGCATCCCATAGCAGCTGTTTTGCATCTTTTACTTGTTTGTGTCTCTTTGTGGTTGTTTTGTCTCTTTTCATATCCATTGTTTGTATCTTTGTGGTTCCTCTTGTGAGTCACTGTAGCTCTTTTGCATATTTTTGTAGTAGTTTTGGTCTATTTGTCGTCCCTTTGAGTCCCTTTGTAATTGCGTTGTGAGTCTCATTGTGGTCTCTTTGTGCCTTATTGCAGCTGTTTTGCATCTCTAAGTTGTCTTGCTCTATTTGTAGTCTTTTTTGTGTCACTGTAGTTTTTTGGTCTATTTGTAGTCTTTTTGTGTCTCCTGTAGTCATTTTGAGTCTCTTTGTAGTGGCATTGTGTCTCTTTGTTGTCATTTAGTGTCACATCGTTGTCGTTTTGCCCCTTTTCATCGTTGTTGTGAGTCTCATTGTGGTCTTTGTGTCAATTTGCAGCTGTTTTGTATCTCTTTGTAGTTTTTTCTGTCTCTTTATTGTCTCCATGTAGTCATTTTATATTTTGTAGTGGTCATTTTGAGTCTCTTTCTGGTTCAATTACATTTTGTAGGTGCAGTCCAGAGAGGCCCCTGGGCCTGCTCCTGGTAGGCCTGTTCAATAATCCATCCATGCAGAGAGCTAAAACATATGATATTCTAAAAATGCATCATTCATGCCTGAAATGATGAACTGATTTTGGTATCAGGATTTATTTATTTTTGTGCAATACCTAATACCAGTCACTATCTCGCTCAGCACTTAAAATGTCTGTAATTGTGAGGGTTTGTTTTTACTTCCTCTCTGTCTTCTCACACACACACACACACACACACACACACACACACACACACACACACAC